AAAATTAATAAAATTGAAGAACTAAGCTAGGTTTTTGTTACCAGTACTGATAAGCTCATCAGTAAGTTCAGCTTCATATAAAAACAATTCGGCTAGAAGGACACAGATTGTTCTCATAGGAATGCCTACAGCCGAAATTTCTGGCCACCGAACTCAACAGAGATATTGTCAATAAGGCACATAATCATTCTCAAAATATCGTCCTGGGTATATTTTATTTTGACCTTTGTGCCCCCTACCCACTGCACTTTTCCGTGGTGGGGGGATTGAGTACCTAGATGATCTGGATAGCTATGCTGGTTGGGGCGTTGTGCTCATGGTAGGGTCACCCAAACCAGACAGGTTGAAAGGTAGAGGTCAGGCAAAGCAGCACCATCCTTTGGCCGGGACGAAAATGCTAGGTTTGCACCGTTGTGCATTACTTCCTGGGGGTTTGGTATACAGGTGTCTACCTTCAGGCCTCCTCTGGAATGGTCTGGCCGTGGTAAATCCTCAGAGTCCGATGTATATAGTGTGGATGTTGTTTCTATCCTTTTTCTTTTCTTTTCTTCCTCTTTGTTCTTTGTTCTTTTTCACACCCTTAAAATTTATTTTTTCGACCATTTGTTGACCCTAATGACCTATCCTGTGTTTATGGGCCGTTAAGCATTGACAATAATAATAATAATTAACCTTTGTTGTATTTTTCACAAAATATGCTCAAAAATAATTGACAACCATATATTCATATCAACGTTTCCCTTTCCTTTAACAGAAAGTTCTCGTAATAAAAGAACAAATGAGATATGGTGGTGTAGATGGTCAAAAAGTCAAAAACAAATAATAGAGGAAACATTTTGGAGAACATGATGGTCAAGATTATTGAAAAGATCTTATGAATACTTCAAAATCCACATACCATTTATTTCACTTCTTGAGTGTACATTATTACAATATGACTGCAACGATAAAGACATTTGATTGGGTTCTGAATGATGCTCGGTATCTATTCTTCCTGAACCTGTAGCTTGAATGTCTCTGTCAGACGTCCTTTTTGATCTGCATGCATCTGGACTTCTTTTTCTTGAATTCCGTCCTGGCCCAATTCAGTTTCCTCTAGTGTAATGAGTACCCAACTTGCTTGGATATATGAAGTGGTGGTCACTGTCATGTCATCCTCTGTTCGCTGGTACGGGTTCCTGACAGCATTCTATGTCCTCTCGTCTCTTTCGGCTGCTTTAATGATGGGGTGCATTCCTATTGCAATCAAGACTGCAGTTGCAATACCTCTCTCTATACAGTAGTATGCCACATTGTCATCCTACCAACGTTGGAGAACCTCAACTTAATTCTAAAGAAGTAATCATTGACGACCCTCTCATGTTCTGTGATGTGGTAATGTACCATATCCTTCCGGATTAGTAAGTGAGGAACTGAGAGATATGCGTTGGCAGGGTCTGATTGCACACACGTCAGATCACATCTCTTTTCCTTTGTCTTCCTTATCAGTTGGTGTGTTCCACACAGCCTAAAAAAACGGGGATGTCGCTTGTCTGAACCGACATGTCAACATATCAGTTTCTTATGATTTACTTAATCGTCCTCTTCGCCAGTACAGAGAAAAAATCTTGCCCTCAACACAAAGCAATGAGATGGTTTAAAATTACTTGAAGACTTCTAAATCTCGGGTTCTTTTCCCGTTCTGTGGGATGGTTCCCTTCTTCGACATTTTTATCATCATATGTCATAGTATCCTCAATAGTTTGAGACATTTCTTGTAGACTATGTAGGGTATGTCACTTTTGGTCCTGGTGCTGTGTCCGATCTGGCTTTCTTTACAGACTCTTGGAATTCATTCTATGTTGGTTCCCTCACACCAAGTGGCGTTGATGGTTCCTTTACAGGGGATATCCTCTTGCACTTCCCAATTGGTATATCCATACGTTCGTCGTTGTTCATTTCTTTCGACTGTTGTTCGAGCCCATCCTTGTTGGGGGTGTTCCAGATTTTTCGTCCCCAGGCAAGCTTTTGGTAAATCTGTAGGTATCTCGAATGAACTGACTCAAACTCTTGAATTTGTTACGTATTTTGCAGCTCTTCTAAACCTTGCCTCTCTTCGTGTATTGCCACTCTATATCTTCTGTAACGTTTCCCCAGTTCAGTTCGATATCCCTTGATTTCCATCTCTCGTTTGTTTCCATGTGTTCTGTCTTGCTTTGGCTTTGACTCCTTCAACGGAGGCGATCTCTACTCAAATTTTAGACCATAGTCTTTAGAAATTCAATCTTCCTCTTTACATTGCTCTGTATAGCAGTTTATAAGATTCCTACCAAATCACCATCCAGATTCTACCCCATATTCTCGAGGTCCATACGGGGCCAGTTGTGTTTGCAGAATCCGTTTGCCCATCTTCTTGGTATGCCCGCAATGCACGCTCCTTGTGCTGCCACTACCTGATTCTGACGTCAGGAGATTCCTAGTGCTGTGGGGATTCTAGGTTTCTCCGCCGTTAACCCAGAACAATGGGTAATCGCTAGGTCTGTGCGTTGCGACTGGCTCCCATCATAACCGCATCTCGATATCTCTTATCTTAATCTTACAGGTTTCCCCGAAACCACATCTGACTTCTTTCTTTCAGCAAGTGTTTTTGCACTATTCGTCTCGAATTCCGTCGACGTTTCCCTTAAGTCAGCCAATGCGAGTCTCTCGCCCCCTTTCTTGGGAAACTCTAGGAGTTTTGTTAATCTTGTGGTTAGTAGATTTTGAAACAAATGTCTGCTCGGGGGAACTGTGCACCGATCTCGTAAAGCTAGGATACAAGGGTATCTTAGCTGTACCAGTTCATCTTCGGGTGAGGTAACTAAACTATTGCAATGTGTCTATGGAATCTTATAAACTTAAAATTAGATAAAAAAAAAAAAAGATTAATTTCTAATGATATTGATGTTATATGTTTATATTTCAATGCGTTATGGTTAATATCATTGCTGCAGACAGAGACATACATCAGAGATGCCGCTAGGTAAAAGTCGGGTAGACACACTGTATTACGCCCAGAGAACAAGTGTCACTAGTGACACACCTAACCAGTTCAATAGTACCAGGCAAGAGTGCGATGTGGCGCTATATGCATAGTCACTACATCGGGCGGTGATGGTCGGGTGTGATAAATTGTTTGGTTTGGTTTAATTTTGTCTAATGTCCTATTAACAGCTAAGGTAATTTAAAGCCGTTACTCTATGCGTGTAGTGTATGCGTGCTAGCGTGTGTGTATTCAGGAGACATGGTATGTTGGTGTGCTTGCCTCCTTGTGATAGCGCGATCTCTATGAAATGCCATACCGAAGGCACCCAGCACAGCATTCCGTAAAAACGGTAACACACTAAATTTTAATTATAGAACAGAGAAGTTTGATGGATGAATATATAATCCACATTTCAAAATATTGATGTAGGCCAAATAAAGTTGAATTTAAAAGAGATATTCACAAGGTTAAAAGACACACATCATATAAAAAAGGAGTTTGCCATAATGTGTTTTTTTGTCAATATGCAGATCTAGTGTTTTTTCAGTTAAGGGTGTACTCTTCTGAGTTTTAAATCACGTTCAGGTCTCGTTCTGATCACATGTAACAGGTTTTTGTAATATTTAATACTTCACGGCAGGTCAACATTTCACCTTCTTTGACATTAGATTGATCACTTAAATTGTCATTTTGTCGCCATTTTTATTTGAAACAGATTCATTTTAGTTCACCTAGTCCGAGGGAACGGTAGCTTATGTAATGGCGCGGCGTCCGTCGTCCGACCGTCAACTTTTCCTTTTCCTTAAAAACGCTACTTGTCCTGGTAGTAAATTTTATCCAAATTTGGCCTGGATCATCCTTAGACAAAGGGGGCTAATATCCTTCTCCTTTAGTATGATTTGAGAGGTTTTAATATTTTGATGAGTATACGTTCCTCTGTCTCTTGGCCTCTTGTTTCATTGAAATTGTATGCAACAAAGTGGAAAATTGTTCATTATTGTATTTAGTGTAACTGAAGCTTTTGATTTTTTAAGCCCGAAAGGGTCAAAAAAGAAGCGCACAGACCCTAAATTTTACGGCTGTTTTAGGAAGAGAAACACATTTTCTTTTGATTCATTATTATTATTATTATTTTATATCAAAACGTTTTAATCTAGCGTTAAATATCCAAAAAAGGTGTAAAAATAGTATGTGTTCATAAAGAAATAAGGGGTCGGGGTACATATGTTACTTAAAACGCTTTTTTTGGGATGAAAAAATAAGATAAAGAAATTTTACTTTCGTAATTTATCTGAAATACTATTTTTATCAATTCTTGAAGCATTCAACTGAAAGCTGTAAGAATTAACGTTATTTTGTTCTGCAAATGGTCAAAACCAAAAACATTAGGAAAACGGTCTGGACATAAAATTCGAAACGTACAGTGCCAAAATATTGATCCCCATGCTGCAAATTTAGTTTATCCAACAAGTTTATAATAAAATGTAAGCTTTTATCCACGGTATTTAAAGATACCATCTGTTTTTTTGTTTTGTTTTTTAAAGTCTTACCATCTTGACCTGTTCAAAACCTCATACTAGCGCAGGATAACGAGAAAACGCACGTGAAAACGATATCGCGAAATTCACGGACAGTGGTAGTTTACGGACACTGGTCGGGTCCCATGTGTATGTGTGTTGTGACCCATTTCAGTGTAACTTAGCACATAATGTGTATTTCAGACATTTGTAACGAACCCCTGTGTAGGCTGTGAGTAGGGCTGTGAAAAATGTAAACAGGAAATGACTTCTCTGATGTGTTACGTTACATCCTTAACACATAAGATCTAATTTTCTTATTTCCTCTTAAATAAGAGCATTTGGGTATTTTATAATATTTCCTCTTGATGAAAGGCGTGTCAGTTCAAGTCCGAAACTACGGTTTTGTAAGTGGGCATGAGTGAGTCACGATATATCCTGAATAAGAAGAACGTTATCACACGAATCATATACCATATAGAAATCAAACGGTGTGTACTGTTTTAGTTATATCATACGATATCAGCTGACTTTTTCCATGGTATCATAGCTGAAACATTGCTTTCGTTTTAGCCGGCAAAGAAAATTAACAGAAATGGCGTTATTACAGACACTTATCATATGTGCATATGTCAGCTTAGCTGTTGGAGGCCCATGGAAACAATGCATTGACGTGAAAATGGCTGGTGAGTTTTTGTTTGGCCTATTTTCAAGATATACTGTATTTCAATCGTTTTATAACTTCCTTCTGAGAGTTTTCCATTAATTGAGAGAATTTCCCTGTGTAGTATTTACAGAAACCGAATTTCACACTTTACAAGGAGTATTAAGTCAAGAATGAAATCCATGGAATTAGATTATGTTCTACAATGTCGTGATGAAAACGCATCAACTTAATCAAAGTATACTGATCAGCAGGCCCAGTAGTGCCAGTACACAGTAAAGAATTCTACTGTAGTCGTTTCGGTAATAAAAAATAAACAACCAACAATAAATAACAAATGAGAAATATTTATTAACTAATAAACGAAGTACCGAAACAATAATCAAAATAATTGAAGTACCGAAACAACTTAAAAACAGGTACCGAAACGACTTGCAAAAAGTACCGAAACATCTTTTTTTTTTGAAGTACCGAAACGACTTTACACCAGTACACAGTAAAGACCTAAGCTTATATAGCCACAGTATATTCACATATAAATTATACTCCAGTACTGCTGTATTGAGCTATATTATCTCAGTTTCAATTTTCATTAAGTTAAAGCTAAGTCGCATACTAAGGTTTATGGTAATGTTGACTAAAAAAAGCATACTGTACAGTAAGATGTTTATTTTCATTTTTCATAAAGGTAAAATTTCCGATTTTTGAACATCCTTATTTTTTAAAAAGAATATTTATATTTAATGTCTTTTGTTATCAACCTAATGATACAATCTTCTTTTAAAAGCAACTTTGTTTCGTTTTCCATAAAAAAGAAAATCACATGAAAATAGCCCAAAAGACCTTTTTCAGATAGTTCAATAGAGCTGTTCTAGGTCTTTACAGCTATATCGCTCAATTGGCAGAGTGTACTCGACCTGCTGATCACGAGTGTTTTCGAGGTCTGTCCATCAGCAGTCAGGAGCGACATTTCTGCCCGGGAAGTCTATAAATACTGAACTTCATTTTGGGACAGTTTTCGAGAACGTGGATTTGCTAACTGGAGCGTAACCAAACCGCAACCGGGTACTCTGGCGGGTTACCCTTTCCAGCCCTAATTAAATTATAAAGTTTATTTAGCGAGGGCAATTGAAATACGAATTGACCGCATTACTGAAACTAATTCTCTTTTCAGATATAGGCAGGTCCAGTACACTCTGCCGATTGAGCTATAGAGCTATAAAGACCTATATAGCTATATACACCTATTATTTATAGCTGTATTAAGCTATATTTTCTCAGATTTCAAATTTCATTAAATTAAAGCAAAGTCGCATAAAACAATAAGGTTTATGGTAATGCTGACTACAAAGAGCATACAGTTAGGTGTTTATTTTCATTTTTCATAAATGTAAAATTTCCAATATTTTTACATCATTATTTTTTTTAAAGAATACTTATATTTAATGTCTTTTGTAATCAACCTAATGATACAATCTTCTTTGTTTCGTTTTCCTTAAAAAAGAAAATCACTTGAAAATAGCTCAAAAGACCTATTTCAGATAGGTCAATAGAGCTATTATAGGTCTTTACAGCTATATAGCTCAATCGACAGAGTGTACTGGAACTGATAGGGGACATTAAAAATGCTACTAATCCTGAACAGCTCAGTAGATTTTAACTAAATTTGGCCTGGAGCATCCTTAGGCCAAGGGGACTCAATTTTGTCTCCATCAAGATGTCTAGAAGTGCCTGTTAATATTAGGGTGTATTTATTTAAGCAATAAACTGCATAGATGTGGCAGACCAACTGGTATAACTGCCACATGTGGCAGTTATACCAGTTGGTCTGCCACATCTATGCAGTTTATTGCTTAAATAAATACACCCTAATATTAACAGGCACTTCTAGACATCTTGATGGAGACAAAATTGAGTCCCCTTGGCCTAAGGATGCTCCAGGCCAAATTTAGTTAAAATCTACTGAGCTGTTCAGGATTAGTAGCATTTTTAATGTCCCCTATCAGTTCCAGTACACTCTGTCGATTGAGCTATATAGCTGTAAAGACCTATAATAGCTCTATTGACCTATCTGAAATAGGTCTTTTGAGCTATTTTCAAGTGATTTTCTTTTTTAAGGAAAACGAAACAAAGAAGATTGTATCATTAGGTTGATTACAAAAGACATTAAATATAAGTATTCTTTAAAAAAAATAATGATGTAAAAATATTGGAAATTTTACATTTATGAAAAATGAAAATAAACACCTAACTGTATGCTCTTTGTAGTCAGCATTACCATAAACCTTATTGTTTTATGCGANATAGTAATATAGAAGGGCTTTGCCACACCAAATGTAAATATTAAAACAATAAGGCCCCCCAGGACGCCATATTGGATTTTGACATCTGAAGTTTGTTCTTGCTATATCTCCAGAAATACTTGATGGATCTTTCTGAAATTTCATATGAACAATACAGTACGTACTATGGAGTGATCTATCTTTACCTCATATCAAGATACAGGCACTCTTGACCTCTTGTTGCAAAATAATGTACCACTGGTAGTTCTGTTAATTAAATAACATTGTATATAATGAATTGTGAATCTGAGGTTTGTGATCTCGTAAATCTATATATATATATATGTGATATCTCTAATCTCTGTCAAAGAGCTCACATCTGGTTGTTCATACTGACAAGATTTAATATTCTATACGTCAGGTCCATTGGATAACAAGATTCTAGACGGAGGTACATAATGAATTTTATTTTATTTCAGCAACAATCAGCCATGTTGCAGTGGCAGGCTGTGCGCCAGGTGCTTCCATTTGTGATCTTAAGAGGGGTACCAACGCTTCTGTGACAGTTACATTTACTTCAAGTAAGCTGTCATATATATATACACAATAAATTTGATACCGTTTTATGTTTTTTTTGTGAATGTTTCGTTAATATTGTCGAATTTCATCTTAGTTCAACTGAGAGAAATAAGATGGTATGTGTGTGAAGGTGACCAAACATTCTCCTCGACTAATGATTGTGTTGAATGCAGAAATTTCAAATATTTTATACAGTTGATTTCAATAAATTAGAAATACTTGCTGGAAAAGTGAACCAAGTGCTTTAATTTTCATCTACCAAAAAAAATCATACCTTTTAATGCTGATGTGAAACTTTAAACATAGTTTTATTGCATATGAAAATGTGTGTGTGGGGGAGAGGGGGTATTTTTCATGAAACTTTATAAATGAATACATATTTTAACATTTACATCTCTTGAGATCGAAACTCCAAAGATCAAAGTCACAGCAATGCGTCACAAGATCATTTTAATGCTTGTCTTGGTTAGAACTTCAAAACTTCTCAACATTAAATATGATACTTCAAATTGATGTGTCATGTACATGTGTTTGGGCAGTGTGCCAAACGCAGTTACAGCGTCTGGACTTTATTTCAAAAGGTCAATGGTTAAAGTGTGGTAATGCTTGCCCAGGAAATACCTTGTCTTCCGACAGACTGAACAAATTTTATTTATAATTACTATAGTACATCATTTTTACTTCCGCCTATCTAATCTCAAGGAAATTATTTTGAGATGTTTTATTGTACAAAGGGATGACAGAAATTCAGGCTGTTTCCTTTAGCTAAAAGTTTCCTTAAGCTAAAAAGTGCCTTATTTTCCCAAAATGAGGAATATATTCCCACTTTCAATAAAAATAATGCTATATTTTCCCAATTCATAAAGGAACAGGCTGTTGTCAAATTCAGGTAAAGAAACCCTGCTGACATGATCCAACTATAGGTTGTATAGGTCGGACATGATCCAACTATAGGTTGTATAGGTGTTCTCCTTGTTATGAGTCTGTGTTACAATACCACTTGAATATTACAGCACATATGCTGTTTTACCCAAGCCACACAGATATACTCAAGGCAGTAACAATTATTAAGGGTAAAATAGCTTATTCAAGGCCCAATACCTGGTATCTGTATGATTCTACGTCCTTGTAATCATTAGGTGGGTTCATTGTTGAATTTGCTATGATCCCCCCCCCCCCCCCCCCCCCCATTAAAACTTAATGGAACCTCAAAGCTATAAGTAACATCATGCATGATTAGCTCATTCACCCCTGAAGACACATTTGAATTCTTCCATTTCAAAGGTTGGAATAGTTCATTATAAAATTTCAGGGGTGAATGAGGTAAACAATGTGTCTGTAGGAGACGTATAACTTATTATGACTATGCAGAACGCCTGGCATGTCTGCATACGATTCTCCTTCCTTTTGAACAGTATGTCTATAAGAGGTCACAGAAGTTAATAACTGTTGTCCAGCATGCAGAAATATAAATTTCACAAAATTTGATAAATTTATACATTTTATCTGTGTACAATTGTTACTATGTACATATAACAGGAAAATAGAGTCAATGCCAGTTCAAAGGTAGGTGTGTTGTTCGGTGTGTGCTGCACTTGAGCGTGGATATGCAGGGTGATTAATGAAATAAGTGGCCAATAAAGATAAATTTCCAACTAACTGGTGACGCTTGAGCATGTTGTGATCGAATTCTTCCTGTAAAATGTACTATACTTCCCATTTTGACACTTTTTTTAGGGGTATTAGTTAGCATAAGGATTACGTTTCTTTTGGTTTACAATATTGAATCATTCTCCTATGCTGCTCAGTCCCGATAGTTTTTGCATTTCATGTCACTTAAATGAGCACACTTTTACCATTGCAGCCACGGAAGAAACCAAAGCCACAGCTGAGGTGAAAGGTTTGATTGCCGGTGTCCCAGTCCCATTTCCTTTGAATAATGCTGATGCCTGCAAATATAAGCCAAGTGGAATAGCACCATGTCCTCTTAAACCAACAAAGCAGTATGTGTACACTCATCAGGTGGAAGTAAAATCTCTATATCCTAAGGTAGGTAGAAATTCTCTAATATCATATTAAAGATCCCCAAACCACTGCCAGGGAGTGTATCTAAGTATTGAAAACTGTTTTTCCGGCATTACTATAACTTTGATAAAACCTTTCTGAAAAGAAAACCATGCCTTGCAGGATTTTTAAGAGAAATAATATAGAGAATTTTTTTTTTTTTTGATGCACTCATGATAATAATGTTTTTGTGGTTTTACTTTAAAAAATGAAATAAATAGAAAATTTGATTATTTGCCAATTAAATACCAGACATATTTCCCTTGTATTAGCAGTGCTTTGTACTTGTGTACACGGGACAAGAAACTTTGTTACCCGAGTCCTGATAAGCTTGTTATAACACACGAAAGTTGTGTAATCCAATTAATTATTGCTTAAATTTGAAGCAATTTGTTGATAAGAAAAAAGTTCATAGGTGTTGAGTATTCATTTTCATCATATTACATATTTTTTTCGAATTTCACACAAATACATGTATGTTGCGTTTGGTTATCACCAACATAAACAATAGGACAGCAAGCACATTTGATACAAACTTCTGTAAATTCATTACCAAATATTTTATTAAGAATTGATTATGGATATTTCACCAAAAAAATAAAAATCACTATAAAAATTACCTGAATATAGAAAAATAAACGATTTCATGACCAAAAACAATCCCAATGGAGATGTGTTTTAAAGACGATGAATCTTATTGTTCATTGCCGAACACAGGCCGATTTCTGAGGCATAATCAGCTGTCAGTTAGTCATAATGCTGCGAAAATAAATATGTATATATATGTCGATGTACAATGACATCAGACGAAAATCAGGAGATAATCAGACTGTGATCTAAAGTTCACCCTGCTGTTAATTCAAAGGAAAGATAAAAACCAAGGGATTCATATAAACAACTGAAGAAAGATGACGAACGATATTTCAGGAAAAGTTAACCTGACGATGAGATTTGTTCCTGTTACATCAGGATTATCTTTTACACCTTTTTAGAATCACGCACAAAATGAGTTAACAGTTCTCTAAACTTGCCCTGAAATCAATAGTAAGCTAGCTTTTATACACAGTCAAACTTGTATGAGCCAATGTCTCGCTATTTCGAACTACAATCTTTATCAAGGTCCGATTGTTAGGTACACATTGAAAATTACAACTTATAAATTGAAATGTCTCAGTATCATTTTCAACATCGAAACATGCCAACTACATAAAACGTATTTTTCTGATAACATTCAATCCAATATTTATGTATTTCAAATTGAATATCCTGCCTTGTGTTTCATCATTTAACAATTACAGTCAGTCTCATGCAGTATATATACAGGATATTCAAAAAGTTCAACATTCTTAAGTCAAAGTCTTGATGTTTCGAATTTTGCTGATGGTCCCGTAAAGTTAAAAAAAAAAAGCATGGAAGTTTGACAATACATTATTAATATCAAACGTTATTTGCATAGAAGAGATTATCACAAGTGTGAGATATTAGATTGGTAGGTGTGGTCATATTTCAATGAAGATCTACAAATTATAATGGACTCTTTAATTCTCCATTTCAGATAATGGTCGAAGTGTTGTGGAATCTGATGGGAAGCTCCGGATCAATATTCTGTTTCATGTTGAATGCGCGAATTGTCTGATGAAACATCAATCTGAGCTACAAGTCCTGAACATGATGCTACCTGAAGTAAAATTTAAAACATAACTCAAATTGGATCAGTACCCCAAAGTAGAGTAGTACCCAAAGGAAAAACCTGTTCACAGAAGTGCATCTAAATCTAAGACATGCCCAAAGTTCATATTTCATTATTATATATAGCACATTTTCTTGTTTATTGGATTATTTTTAAACACAATCTGAATAAGATTTTCAAACTGAGAGATTTATAAATATAAGTTCATTAAAAGGTTTTAAACAGATGCATTTTAGGACTATGCTCCTTGTTTCAGTTGGTAGCAATTGACTTCAATACACGTACTTACGACACCAAATTTAAAAAAAATTCCTTAAAAACCATGAATTTAAAGTGTAAAATATAGAAACACTGAAGCTGTAATTTACGTTTTGGGTACTTCCATTTTGGAAACCTCTGATAAGGTAAATGGATGGTGACGTGCTAAATGTCCGAGTGAGAGTGTGTGGCAAGTGTGAGGGTTCGTAACTTTCATTTACTTTCATAATCTTTGTTTTTTGTTTTGTTTTAAGATCACAAGCTACCTTACAGTGGCTGGTCAGGGATTTATACACTGCCACTGTGTATAGCTAGCTTACTGTAGCTTAAGTATCTTTTCCTGAGAATGTCTTTCAGACATTAAAATTTAAATGGAAAGCAAAGGTGAATTCCTAGTTTGGAAGCATATATCCTTAAGTCTGTTTTGTAAAATAACAGTTTGACTTTGTCTTGGAGGACACAAAATGTCCGCCTCTGAAAAGTTCCACTCTATTTTAAAATGAAATTTGTGAGAAGCGAGATGAAACTAAAACTGTCCACTTTACATTCAGTAATATTATTCAGTTCTTGACGGCCAGCATTAAGAAAGCATTAATATATAAAAATCTTCATTATTGAAGTTGTGTATACTGAATGTCAGGTCAACATTGTGTATACATAATAAACATGTTTAAAATTTTAATATTACTGCAGGATAAGAAATAAATATGCTTGCCATGATTACAATCCGATTAAAACCATCTGTTACATGGCTCGGTTCATTTCGTACTACACCCGACGCATTCAGGTGTAGTACGAAGTTGATAAAGCCATGTAATAGGTGATTTTAATCAGATTGGCCACGATTATTGGATGTAAATGTAAAAGGAAATATATTCTTAAAAACATATTTTAAATAACATACTATTGACCGGTAAACAACATTGTGAAATCCTTCATCTTTGTGGGATATTTGTGTTGATTAATTTCTAGTAAAACCAATAGTTTATTTTTACCATTGTCTTTCATTTGAAATACAGTAAACGCTCGTCATACTGCCACCATTTGTCGAAGATATTTTGGCGAAAGTTGAGGGATTGTAGGGAGAAATTCTTAAGAAAACGAGAAAAAGGGACACTAAAATATTGGCAATAAAAGAGACGTCAAATATAACAAGGTTTTACCATATGTACCTTCATCTAAAAGATAAGATTCCACAAATTGATATCCTTATAGAATAATGTTTTTTTGATAAAACTCCATTGTTAAACACAACTTAAATGTTTACACTGTTTACGTTCGTCACTGTTTATGACCAGTGTTGGTTTTTGTTAGAACATTTTTTCATGATTTAGAATAGAATATATTGCAAGGATTTACATCAATAATGTTTATATAAATTTAAGTGGTCGCTGTATATTGCTTTCTTGGATATAAATAGTGAATCTCAATAACATTCCTTGTTATAGATCAAACACTTTGTGTACCCGAAATTAACTATTTGATTTTTGTTTAATGTGAACTTGAGTTTTTTCGTGTAGTTGAATTACATTGGATTTTAAGATTATAAATACTTTCTATAGTTGATGACTTGAAATGGAATGTATAGTTGATTTATTACAATGTTCATTGGAATTCGAGATCTGCCTTCATCACATTTATACATACTTTGTATCCTTAGAAGATGGGTTGCATTGGAATACTTGGGACAGTCAGTGATCTGATCTCATAGTTGCCATCTGAGTTGATCTTTAACAGAATTCTTTTTTCTTCGTCTAGGCTTTTATAAAATTATTACTTTAAAAAAAAAATGTAAATTTTTTGCAAATTTTGTTTCTCAGAACAATCAAACAGAAGTGTCTGTGATTGGATTACATATGCAATACAAAATGAGATTATTTTGATGTTTGATTTTATCCTTTATGCTATTTCATATGTGTCCAAACCAAACCGACTAGTGTATTTACAACTTTCTCATTTTGATTGAATAAATCTGTGAAATGTGAATTTGAAGTTCATAATCATATGAAAATAAACCATGTTTTGTAACAAAATGCTTGTTGTTTTTGTATTTTTGATAAATATCACAAAACTATTGTCTGCTCACCTTGCCCAAAGCCTAAAAAAATCATTTTCCTTACAGGTACTATTATACAGTCCCATATGCATGTTGGAACTCCTAAACAGGAATCTTGTATATTAACTTTGTGATTTCATATGTGATTTGCCACTATGACAAATGTAATATCTTATAAGAATTGCATAACTAAATGCAAAATGCAAAACATTTGTAACTATTGCATAATTAGAAGTGCTGTCAATGACGGATGACTAATCAATAGGGACAGGGCCCAAGGGGAACATATCAAATTTGAGAAAGATCCCTCCAAAACGGCCATTTTGTTTATACGATCAGTCTTAAAAGTAAGCATGCACAACTACAGACCAAGGAGAACATTCATATCGAATTTGAGAAAGATCCCTAGCTCATACAGTACTTTCTGAGAAAAAAGAATTGTTTACGGACGGACGGACGGGCGACGGACTACGGACGAAGCTAGGGTGATTTGAATCAGAACAGATGATTAATTGTGGCTAAAAGGCTCCTGCCCTTGACTTAAGAAATACATTTTATATACAGCGCATATTTTGTGTTGCCTCCAATCGTCTGTTGGATAAGCAGTGTAGCAGACGTTAAACCAATCAATCAATCGATCAATCAATCAATATGACCTCCTGGGGAGGGCGTTGCGTTCATGATTCATACTTTTTCATATATTTTACGCCAAAATAACATATGAATAGTACTTGAATATATGAACTTCTTATCGAAAACATGATCATATCCTGCCCACTGACAGATTGCGTAGTAAACATTTATGTTTTAGACATTTTCAGTTTATATTTGGAAATTAAGTTTTATTTTAAGTTTTATTTCTTGCATGATAGACTAGCAGCTAGGTAGTTTATAAGTATATGTATTTGCCGGGGAAACAAACTATATAAATATATGATCATTTGTACGTTTTCCTGATGAAAAAAAAAGATAAATAAATAAACAAAATAAATTGTAACATGTATATACAATGCATATATATTTAATTAATTCACTTAAAAACGAGCACAGAAGAATTTTGAAAAGTTAAGATAAAAACCCTACATAGATAATAAGGTTAAGACATGGTTCAGACCACAGGGACTTGGGAATTTGTCCCTTGGAATTTGTTACAGCTATATTTGGACCCAATTAATTATATATATGAGCTGATCGAGGTGTTCCGAGTAATTTTACACGTTTTATGGGATTAGAGGTAAAAATGCAACGCCAATCGATCCTAATTGATAAAACAGGTGAAAGCACTCTGAACACCTCAGTTTAAGGTCCAAATAAAGATGTAACAAATTATCAGGTCCCTGTGGTTCTGATCACATGTCAAAAGCTGCGACACATTTAACGTTGCAGGAGCTATACTACTACCTCCCCTGATACAAAAATACATTATACACAATAAATCCTATTATTCTTTAAAATTACCCAAAAGGCATTCAAAATTTAATTAAGAATTTTTGAAATGCAAATAGTCTTTTAATTCCTGAAAAAGATTGAATATATTGTAGAATTCGATACAAATACATAAATTGACTCACGGAAAAACTCTGACACCCAGTCGACTCAAGAAGGTCCTATATAAAGTGCATGGAATGTGGACTGATGCGTTTTTGTGTATCAACTTCACATGTCCATATCACGTGCTTTAACCAGTTCACAAGGTCGAGGTTGTTACGATTTCGCTATCGAGCTATACTGGCTTTAATATTTCTTTGGCTCTGTCGAGTAAATCGTTTTTATAAATGCAGTACAGCGACTCTGTTAGAAAAGTGTTGTGTAAAAATATTAAGACCCCTAACAAAATGCATGTATAGGTGCACGTTAGAACGGCATGTCTCTCGTTACATATGTACCATTCGCTAGTGGGCTGTAAAACGGGATCCAACGTGTACATGATTGGGAGTAATTTGGTTCCATTAAAGAACAATAAGTTGTCACTTGTAATATCATACATTTAATATACTTCCTTTATTTTTGATATGTTTCAAATGAGATAACTGTCATTGTGAAAGCTGTATCCCTCTTAAAAAAAAGGTCCGATAATTTTTCAAGGAAGACTGTAAAATGTAAAAAAAATAAACCCATAAAGCCATTATGTATATTTTGTTGAATTTCCCACTATCTTTGTATGACATTTTGTATCCTGTGTGCTTTTAGTTTGTAGATAATAGATACTCACTTTTATTCATACAATTTCAATAAAAAAAAACACACGCTATGTAACGTGTTATATATTTTGTTTTAAACATATTTTTTTTGTAATATTATTTGGACATTCTTTAGCCATTCTGTTCTGCTAACTTTGGCCGATTCCGGTTCCTTTCATCATCGGCCTGTTTACATTAGAAACACTAACGAGATGTATTTGGTCTACGTGAACTACAGTTTCATAGTTAGATAACCACAATTGAACATTTTAAACAATAATAATAGTCAAATAACGCCATGCCTACATCTTGGATTTTTAAAGTTCTAGTTTGTTATAGTACTTAAAGAGGCTCCAACCTTTCGCAATTAACCAGCAGAATTCGTTAAAACTTTAACAAAATGGCTATACAACTATGGAGAGGTGATTTTATGAAAATCGAAGCATTCCAATAGACTTGGGATTTTTTGGGGGGAAAACAAGGCAAAAGAAATTGAGATTTCGTCAATTTTAATATTTTCCTTTTTTTGGGTGTTAATAACAATAAAAAAATTGAAAAGAGGCATTTCAAATATTTTATTCATCACAAAATATACATAACACGTTACACAAAGTGTTTTTTTTATTGAAATTGTATGAATAAAAGTGATTATCTACAAGCTAAAAGCACAGGATACAAAACTCCATACAAAAATAGTGGGAAATTCAACAAAATATACACAATGGCATTTTAATTAATTAATTTTACATTTATGGTATGTAAGTAGTGTATTTTGGATTTTAGATCAGGTATTAAATACCAGATACAAGCGCCTGTGGTTACGCTCTCTGTACAGAGCGAAAGTAAGCATAACCCCTGGTTATCAAGGATGATGTAATGGTGGAATACCAATACCTAAGTTGCAGGAGTCACCTCCCCTGATAAAAATCCAGATTATTGACAATAAATCCTATTTATCGTTAAAATAACCCAAAAGGCATTTAAAATTAATTTAAGAAATTTTGAAATACAAACAGTCTTTGAGTTCTGAAGTATTTTAAATAAATAATTAATTGTTTAGCGTTATTAAAAAAAAGATAAATATTTGAAAATATAGTAAATGCTGTAATTATTAGGTTTTACTTGTAGTACAACTCGTATCAATTTGTCTTGAAAAAAATTCGTTGATCGAATATACTCAATTTTTGTCTGACTTCGGTCTTATCTCGTTTAACATCCAATAGAAAACTCGCCTTCGGCTTCTCTGCCGGACAGTACGAGCAGATGTCCGATGTCATCCGTTTGAGTTCGGTATGTCTCTCCGTATTTCTAAGCGGGGAAATACGTCAAAAGTCACTGTCACATAATAAGAATAACTAACAAATACATATAATTTCTTGAAGGATATGTTGATATTCTTATATTATAACGAATTTGAAGCGATGTCATCGAATCAGGTTGTCATACAGCAGCACGGCGCGTTTACTTTTACAACACGTGCGTGAAATTTTCGGGATTCGATTACAGACGGATATGAAAAGTACACCTTCTTATCATTATTATTATTCGTATGTAACCTTCATCACGGCTTAACTTTTTAATCAAATACACCTTAATTTTATTAAAACATACTCAAATACAAATGAAATGTACTCATTCAAAAAAAACAACACCAAAAATTCAAATAGTCTACACTTAAATTTATTTCAATCATTTTCAATCATAATCATAAAACAAATCATTTAAACTACTCAAATACTCTTAAAAAATAAATAAATAAACTCAAATACACTTCAATTCAGATCAAATACACTCAAAAATAAATAAAATATATTCAAATACACTCAAAAATAATTAAAACATTCTCCAAAGTTCCAAAATACACCATTTTCATCCTAAAAACTGCAAACTAATAATACTGTCGCTTTCTAGTCATACATAGTCATAGGGGATTCCCAAAATGATGTTTAGAGAAGAATGTTGAGTTTTTTGGTAAAATAAGATTTTTGTTCCTGTAAACTAGATGGCTAGTCTATACTTGAAGTAATGAAAAATCGCGATGTTTCAGCTAGATTTAGACTGAATGTTCGGTCGTTACGTAGGATTAGTCCTTAGTAATTAAAGGAAATTCATTTTTTTCACCAAAAATTGACAATTTTTCACTTGAGCTTAAAAAACAATTCCAAAGACATGCTTAATAATTGATTTCAAAATATATAAGGTAAACGTACGACCTATCTCATATAGTAACAGATAGATACACTTTAACGATTGTGACGTGACCCTGTGGTCGGACTGTCTGCAGACTCGTTCGTTTGACCACAGGTACTAGCCTCGTCTGGCAATACACCTATGATATGATATGATATTATAGACAGATATGGCTAGTAGTACCTGCGGTTTGACACCCCTCTCCAGGATATGACCAGGACCGACCCAATATTTAAATATTTTCTCGTTTACGGAAAGTGCCGACGGTTCCCGATTGAGATGATAATACATATTATTCTTTGGTCCCGATGGGTTGGTCACAGGTTTGGACCTTTTGTTATTTTACTCATGCTAAAAAATTCACTGAATTAACTAACATCATTTGAACACAATTAAAATACCGATATTAGCGACATCAGGATGTTATAGGATCAATTGAAGCCTAATGTGAAAAAATCCAATATTTGAACAAATCAATTTAAGTCGCCACTTTATTTTTGTTATGTTATAGAAATTCGAGGATAAGTGGTATAACTATCCACTAAAGAGTATGAATATCTTGGTAACCTGATAAAATACAGCAGGTCAATTCACTGTAAAGGAATTGTCCAACAAAGGTCTTAAAGTTCTTTTTGCATTAAAATATATGCAGAAAAAATCACAAATTTTCCAGTAGATGCCCAGTGTAAACTTGTTCAGTCCCTTCTAAACCCTGTCCTGACTTTTGACAATTATTTTATGTTTAAAAGGTTCAATCGTGGTTATCTAACCATTAAACTGTCATTCACGTAGACCTAATACATTTCGTAAGTGTTTCTGATGTAAACGGCCTGATGTCCAAAGTCGCCTCAATCGGGAACCGTCGGCACTTTCCGTAAACGAGAAAATACTGAGGGAGGTGTTATCCCACTCTTTTGTCAGCGATTTAGTCACGTCATGCACGTTACTTGTATAAGGCTGAATGCGACTTCTCTTAACGACTTGCTCAAGAATATCCCAAACATGCTTTAAAGAAGACATTTTGGGCAATTTAGATGGCCATTATTATCGGCGCGATATCTCGTTGAAATTAGCTCCGGACATGACGTTGTAGGGGGTCATTTTTACCGAAAGTTGATCTGATCCCATAAATCGTAAAATACTATGAACACTTTAGTTTAGGTCCAAATATAGCTGTAACAAATTATCAGGTCCCTGTGGGGTTAACCACCAGCCTCAAAATTTCGCCTCGATGACACGTACACCCCATTCAAATTCCCTGGTACTATAACAAGTCTGGTATAGCAACACCAAAAATTCCAACCCTGGCCTCCACCAAGATGGTCCCGTTCAACGACGCAGCATGCAGTTAGCAAAGTGTCCACCGCCCAACGTCTCCGCACCACCCAACGTGTCCGCGGACTCTAAGCCTTCCATTACTAATCATTGAAACTCGCCATTGCTACGTGCGTCTCTGGTGCGATGGACGGTCGTGACGGTTGTGATGATACAGCTAATCTTTATTAAAAATATTTTTTAGTCGGTTTTCGTTTTGATTGTTAAGTCCCGTTCCTTTTAGCTGTCAATTTATATCACAAAGTGATTGGCAAAGATTTTACAACAATTATGAAACACCGTGTTTCAAAGACAAATTAGTAATAACAGACCTTGATTGACCTCTTTGGAATATCAGAAAAAAAGTCCATGCACTTTAAAAAAAAACTTAAGCCATCGATTGTCGCGGCAGATTCTACATACATGTACGCGTTCTTTTACGGATGAATCAAGATTTTGTTTATCACATTGTGAAGGGAGGCATACAGTACTGAAACAAGGTGCCCAGACCACATGGGCGTGGCACAGATCTCTAATCCTACGGTCCTGATATGTGTTGGTTGTTTGGTCGGTTGAAGGAGTTTTCGCCTACATATGATTCCGCCCATACGGGTTTCATCTCACTGACGGAAGTCGGTGTTCTCTCCTGATGTGTGATACACACATATGTACGGACCCCGAGGTTAGGGATCTGTCTCAAGCCCCTGTGGTCCAGATATAACGTTAATTGGACCCAAAGACCGGACTTGTTTGAGGTGCCGATTTCAGATCTATACTTGTAGACAGAATGCCACTGATATTAATCAGAGACATTAAAAGCCATACGTAGTATATAACGTCTCTGTATAATCAATATTTTAAATCATAAAATGTTCTGGTTATTTTGTAGGCAGCATAAAAACGATAAATTATCCTCTGAATACCATCACCAAGTAAAAATTCTGAAGATAAATGCTTTGATAATGCAAGATATTTTTTAGATTATGTTTGGGCCCACCAGACGTATACACTACTGGCTTTACCTAGCCTATCGAATCACTATCATGCCAGCGTATAAACATGTAAAAGTTGAATAGTTTTTAATATGATGTTTACTTGACTTATTTTTTAAATGGTTCAATAGCTGTTATCCCAGAAAATGTGATTCAAGTATATACCAGCTAGTACATACCATAAGTGTCTTGCTGAAAAATAAGTCTAAGTTGTGCCAATACCTGAGCGTTCCAAGAGTAGTCTCCCTTGTTAATGAATATATGATGAACGACAAAATCCGCCTCATTTTCAAAGTTTTCAAAAATGCATCTGAAAGTTTGATTAAGATCTCGTAATATAAAAAATTTATCAAATATTGAGAACATTTTGAAGAACAGTTTATCAATGCAAAATCTAAAAAAGAAATTAGTTTAAAAAAAATATAAATGTAGTTATAAATTCAGATTAAAGCTACTGAATTCTTGTGTGCGATCATGAATTTATGATTTAGATTGGAATTTCTGACAGACGTCATTTTGACGGTCTAAATATATAATATTTATTTATAAGACATGAAAGTTGCATTTTCGAACATGTATGTCTGGTTTTTCGTTTAGACCAAATTTGTGATAAGGGTGAAGAAAATTTGTTCATACTTCTTCCTGATACCGGTAAGTTGGGTGGTTTTGATGTTTATAATTTTATTCCTTTACTCATGCTTTCAAATCGATTCTACATCATTCAAACACAAATGATTAATTTTCAGAGATATAAGTATGCAGGTGTTGGAATCGATTTAACTCCAAATTGATAAAAAAGTTAAAAAACAAACTTGAACCCCTTACATGTGTTACCTACAACAATTTTTGGTTGTAGATGAGAAGAAAAATAAATATAAAATATTTACTTGTGACAATTTCATTTGTCTCAAAAGAATAATTGATAATAATATTTTGAGGTTATTATATACCGCTTTATCACAACTTAGCTTGTTTGTCATCTCAAAGCGGTTCACAAATTATCATCCGTGGTTATAGGACCTTTGCAACTGCCAATATATTTCTCACCTCCCTGGGGAGCATACAGCCGCATCGGTGCTGTCATCATTTCGACGCTCACAGCTAGCATTCAACAATTCTAGCACTGCCCAAGCAGGTACTGATTTACACCCTAATGGGCCTGCATCGCTCACCTGGTATTAATCTCACATTTGTTACCTTAAAAGTAGACTAAAATAAAGCTACAGGAATAATATCAGTGTCTTGAAAAGAACCTGTTAAACGATTTATACTTTTTTGACCCCTGTGACCTTGAAAAGCAAACATGGACATTGAGTTGAACAAACTTTGTAGCCCTTCATCCCAGAATGCAAATTGCCAAATATCACCACCCTATACCTTTTGTTTATTGAGATGTCTTATCAATATTTAAGCACAATTGACCAGATGTGACCTTGAAAGTGTGTCAAGGTCATTCACATGAACAAACCATCGACCCATAAGTTTTTGTAATTCAGAAAGTCGTTTAAAGATTTCAACATATTTGACACCTGTGACCTTGAATATGGGCAAAGGTCATTCATTTGAACAAACTTGGTAGCCCTTCAACCAAGCATGCTACTGGTCAAATATCACCACCCTGGACCTTTTGGTTACTCAGTGAAACAAGTTCGTCTTTATAATCAAGAGGCCTAGCATGATGATATTTAACCAGTAGCATGCTGGGTTTAAGGGCTATCAAATTTGTTCAATTGAATGACCTTCACCAATTTTCAATGTCTCAAGGGTCAAATGTTTTGAAATAAATTTAAGTAGCTGTTTCTATTTTCAACACATTTGAACCCAGAGACTTTGAATAAAGGTAATGCATTCATCAAAGCTACTGGCCAAACAAAGATTCCCACCTAAGTCTGTTGTTTATTCCAAAGTAGTTGTTTTAATGGGGTTTTCTTTTAACATATGAGATGGATGAAGGTCACTCATTCGAACAAACTTGATAACCTTCACCCCAGTATGCTATTGGCCAAATATTGTCACCTTAAGCCTCATGGTCGTTCGGAAGAATTTGTTTTGAGTAAAAAGTTGATGCCGTACAGACGACGAATGCTTCACCATGGCATAAGTTCACATGACCCTTTAGGTTATGTGAGTTTAAAACCTCTCCATTTACACTGTTTAAAGTAGAGTCCCTTTGGCCAAGTGTGTTTCAGACCATTTCATTAAACAACGTTCTATTCCATGGTCCTATGGAAGTTTCACGGTAACTTTGATTCAAATCTCACCCCTAGTTCAGGAGAAGTCTTTTAAATGAAAAAGCTAACTGACGGACACTGACAGTGTCACTGTGCCACAGGCAAATAAGCAAATAAATACATTTTCAAAGCAATTTGAATTTGAAACAAATTTATTTACATCATTTTTTACGAGGAACATTTTTTTTCATACTGTACATGTTGATTTATAAATATTTTTTGACATCTTTGAACTACTTTCCTGTATCACTGTCCAACATTCATACCAAAGGTACACATATATCTAGGACAACAGACAAGTTCTTATACTGCAACGGATGGAAAGTCATTCATCTTACAGGCCTAACATAGTGTATTGTAAAGGTTTAGTGGGCCTGTATCACTTACCTAACATGCTGTATTGTAAAGGTTTAGTGGGCCTGTGTCACATACCTAACATACTGTATTGTAAAGGTTTAGAGGGCCTGTATCACTTACCTAACATAGTGTATTGTAAAGGGTTAGAGGGCCTGTATCACTTACCTAACATACTGTATTGTAGAGGTTTAGAGGGCTTGTATCACTTACCTAACATACTGTATTGTAAAGGTTTATTGGGCATTTGTCACATACCTAACATACTGTATTGTAAAGTTTTAGAGGGCCTGTATCACTTACCTAACATACTGTATTGTAGAGGTTTAGAGGGCTTGTATCACTTACCTAACATACTGTATTGTAGAGGTTTAGAGGGCCTGTATCACTTACCTAACATACTGTATTGTAAAGGGTTAGAGGGCCTGTATCACTTACCTAACATAATGTATTGTAAAGGTTTAGAGGGCCTGTATCACTCACCTAACATACTGTATTGTAAAGGTTTAGAGGGCCTGTATCACTTACCTAACATACTGTATTGTAAAGGTTTAGTGGGCATTTGTCACATACCTAACATACTGTATTGTAAAGGTTTAGAGGGCCTGTATCACTTACCTAACATACTGTATTGTAGAGGTTTAGAGGGCCTGTATCACTTACCTAACATACTGTATTGTAAAGGTTTAGAGGGCCTGTATCACTCACCTAAAATACTGTATTGTAAAGGTTTAGAGTGCCTGCATCACTCACCTAACATACTGTATTGTAAAGGTTTAGTGGGCCTGTATGACTCACCTCATATACTGTATAGAAGAATACAATTTTACAGACTAGGGGCCAGGAAAGCTAAACATATGAAATGAAATATGGAAAATTAAAAACACAAACATTCAATTAAAATTTATATGAACTGTCAACATCACAGCCTGACCAACAATTGGTTGTGTAAAATGATATTCCTAGGCAATAAAAAAAAACATGTATGGAAAGAAAATGCTCCTAAGATGCTTAAAACTTAATGTCTGTACTAACAGTTATTAAAAGAATCAATATTCTAAAGTCATGTTTGTCTGTGTTTTACATCCTATTAACAGCGATGATCATTTAAGGACGTGCCAGGTTTAGGTGGTGGAGGAAAGCCGGAGTTCCCAGAGAAAAAACACGACTTTTCGCCAGTACTTGGCGACTCCTTAAGCTTTGTAAGCTGTAGAACCTTTACCCTTTTAATACAAAACTTTTGATTTTATGTAGCTATAAAAACTAAAAAAATACCAGAAAATTGGTCATTGCCTTTTCTGTGTTTAAGTTTCGACACAAAATCATCTTACAAATCAAAAGGTATGGTTCTGGATGCGTCTATGTTCTCTGCACTCTTGGAATTTGTCCTGACCGACTCGAAGGCTATGTGCGGGCCACCTTGGGGATACTACAAGTAACATGACATATTCCAATGATGTAAAGAAGATAGGCGTACTGAGAGAAAAACCCATGAATTTCAAAAATGCACAGAATAGGTTACTCCCCTTGTCCTCCGTACTTCCAATGATATTATATATTAACAAAGTTAAATGTACTGTACAACGGGTTATTTACGCAGGCTTAAATGTTCCCGATTCTTACCCAAAATTAGAAAATTGAATTCACACAGATTATAATTTCGCGACCTAGACATTTGAAGGAACTAAGCTTTCACTGTGTTTTAGCACAGAGAAAGCACTCTACATAAAAAGTGTTCAATAGTCAGATGAATAGGCTTTCTGACAGCGTATTGAGCAACAAGGAAGTGTATTTTGTTGAACAAATCATCAACAAAACTATTACTGCGGCTCATTTCTAAGCTTGTCCGATTATTCTGCAGATACTACTTGTGCAATCGGTTTAGATACCTCCGAAACCACGAAAAAATATCATCTCCGGAGAAATACATGTATGCTATATACATAGTAGATAAAAAAAATAAAGGTAACTTACTGTTGTTTTAAAAAGATTTTAATAGAAAGATTGAACAGGAAAAAGATAATATAATGGGAAATAAACAATACATGTCATAATAAGTCCTTACTCAAACATGACCAACTCAGATATTTCTGCAGTACCAAAAGTTTCGGAGAACCAGCTGCTCTCTTAACCATATTTTACCGAGGCATACACTTATGACAACCAATATGTACAGCGGTATATCAAGTGACTGTGCTTTTTGTCAGATGAGAAAAATAAATAAAAACAGAAATTAAAAAAAAAGAAAATTGACAGATTGGGTCCGTTATGTTTTATCATACTTGTTGCTAAAGTCAACCTCGCTTTGAAGACACAAATCTCACATAATAAATATAATTATTTACTTGTTATGAAAAGCACCGGCCATATTTTGAAAATATGAACACATTAATTCATGAAATATTTTAAATTAATCTAAAAACATTAAATTTGATGTAGTAATCATTCAAATATTCATCGTGTTTACGTAACTGCACCTCTAAAACTCAGATTAGAGAACTGCGGTTTGTATTCTGATGTCTATACAAGCATTTGTATATGCTACATATATGAATATAACATACTTATGAAATAAATTTTGAAAAATCTTGTTGACATACCACAAAAAAAAAAGAAAAAGAAATCAATAAAAAAAAATATACACCGACATCTTTATGCACAAATCCCGTGCGTATAGTATCACATCTTTTACTGTTTAACAAGTAAATATATCTTTATTTTTTCTATTTACTTAATTATAAAAAACATCAATCATCCAATGATTTACTTCATTTGTGTCACACTCCATTTGATAAACATAGCAAGAATTATTTTTTCTAAAATTTAGAAATCATTCAATCTAAAATCCGTTATCTTGAAAAAAAAGTATTACAATCAAAAAACCTATTTGGAAATGCAGAAATTTTGTTTATAATTTCAATCCTTTTCCTTTTTAAATATTTGACATGTCATTTCAACTCATTTCGTTTTACATTTATAAAATAGTGATCCTTGTGAAACCCAATGTTCATCTCACCCTGGACTGTATATCATGTTTAATTGGATCATGCAGATATATAAAGATTGCGGTCAGAATATGACATATGTTCATTATTCTGATTACAAAAAATAAAAAAATAAAAAATAAACCTTGTACCTTTTTTTAAAAATCAAATTCTGTCCCTGGGGGAAAATTGTTCAAATACAAAATATTGATTTCCACATGATAACATTACTTGAAAAGGTTATCTACTTTCAACATTACATGAAGGGGCTATCTCCTTTGGACATGACTGCACAAAGGCTACTTTTGCGTATCTGGTTGAAACAGTTGAAACGGTTGAACCTGTAAAGAAAACGACAGGCACAGATCTGAACAGAGGCTGACCTCAGGAGTATTCGGCACGTGTAGAATGAGGGGTCCAGACGTACCTGACCAAATCTTAAATGCTGACTGTTGCTAGCTTGCGTTATTTCTTTCTAAAATAATGTCAAGCAACATGTAGTTTGCAAGTTAAGTTAAGTTCAGTGGACGCGTGAAAGAAAGGCCAAATTTTCTTGATACATTGTTATTTATTCACCGAAACTGTGCATTTTTAGTTCTGCTTATAGAACGGTCCAAGTGCGTTCGTTTATCGTGGAATATTTCTGCGCCACCTGTGCCATTTCAACCGGGATACGCAAATGTAACCAAATTAAATATTTTTCTGGCAAGAGTTATCTTACCTGATGAAGGGTTACCTCGCCTTAAATCATTAACACATTCATATTTACAGTCATCCACATTCAGAAAAAGCTACAATTTCTCTTCCAGATTTGGCAAATGCTACCATTTCTTGTCAAGGATTGATAAAATTTTGACAATTTCAAAAAACATTTTTCAAACAAATTATTTCTAGTCTTTTTCGCTCGTCAGGGTTCATATATAGTTGAACCTCATTAGGGAATGGGAATAAACATCACAACAAGATTGATCACAATGGAACAAAAAACATTTTCAGCTTTTGATCATCATAAAGTCTCCTATCAGTAGAGCACCTGTGAGGAGCCAATGCTAACAATCAAATCTACCTCCGCAAGAAATTTTTCACTAACGAGAGTTTGGCCACTTTTGTTAATCACTTCACTAACTATTTGACCACTTGGGCAACAGGTCTGCCAGTCTTTACCCCGTAAAATGTTGCATTTTAAGAACTAGCAGACAGACTGGTCGTTTCGCACTAAGGAAAAGTTCCATCACTTATATCCAACCTCCCTGGTCGGGTACCTCAGTTGTTTGGATCACTTGGACCTTAGCTCGGCTAACAATTAGTCTCTAAGACTTATCATCTGTGTCTTACACCTTTGCATATAGGTGTTGGGCAAGAATAATCAATCTTCTTCCATAGAAGTCCAAACAAGTTTCCCAGCCACAAATGACAAAAGTCGACACTAAACAGCCAGCGATATAACACAGCTACATTTGAGGGACTATCTTTTTGTCTTGACCTATGACCTATCACCAATCCGGGGACACTGACCTCCTTTTAGACAGTGGCAGGATATTCTGTAAGCAAAATATTGAAATGTTACTACACGAAGCCTCAACAAATTATTTTCGTCATATTTCATTAAAATGAAAATTGGACTCAAATCAAGCTCCTTCAGGTCCTTGGATAAAAACATTTCAACCAAAGTAAAGATTTTCCTACATAAATAGTGCCCAGTGAAATATTCCCCCTTCACTGGTTAAATCCATGTTCACCCAGTATTAATTTCGCCCCTTAAAATATAAGAACCATATAAGGTATGATGTTGATTTATATTCCCTCTTGTGATAAATTCGCCCTCGTTGCAAAGAGCGAAAAAGACAAATTAAACTGTGGCAGAAATTTCCCAGTAACAACATTATCTTCATTTAAAACAATAGATCTACAAACAACAACAAAATAACTGATATTTTTTTAATTTCATCTTATATTACTGCGAGCCTGCAGTGTCCCTACAGCCTCATGCTCAGCTGACAGTCAGAAGAGAACCAGCCACAAACCTTATGCATAATACGTTGGGGAGACCAAGAGATCGGTCAGTATCACCAGCTGGTCGTCTGTGAACATCTGCTTATGGTCGTGCCAGTTGTCGTGATGCGTCCGCCGGAAGTCTGACAAGGTCTTCTTCACGGTCATCTACAGGTATACGAGAGCCACAGGACATGTTAACAAGAATTTTACAAAATTGAATTTTTAAATGTCGTTTGGATGCTCTAGTTTCTGGTGTATATGATCAAGCCCCTGTTCCTCAAACTTGGTTACAGTTATCCAGTGGTTAGGGGGGGGGTATATACCTCGAGTATTGGCAACAATTTGAATTTTTCACTAACTTCAGAGTACAGCTTAAAATTTCCCAACATTTGAGAAAATGAGGCCAGAAGGCTGTGTTTAGGGTAGGAGTACATTAACAGAAACCGGTTTCCAACGATGGATCGATAGGTTGGACATCTATACCACCTTCAGAATACATTGCTCTAGCACACTTTTTATTTCAGATCTATTAAATGCAATCAAAACTCATGGACGAAACAAAAAAATCCTTTAAACAATGACGATACCTGTATCGGCTGTGGATCATTGACGTGATTGCTGAGATCCATGAGTATCTGAGGCATGAAGTTTGGCACATCGTAGGGGTACGCCTGTACAAAGGCGCCCAGCCCCAGAACGCCAGCGTGGCGCTTTACCAAGGCCTCCAAAGGAAGGTTGTCTTTCAGCTGCTTCCTCTTCTTCACTTTAGTTCTACTCAGAAGCTCAAAGTGATCCTGGAACAAGCAACATGATAAAACAAACATGTTTTTTTTTTTCTAACTAATTCTTGAATACTGTAATTCTAATGGAATAACATCATGAGTTGTCACCAAATATGGCAATTGAGTCTGACATGGTATAGGAGGTTTACCCAGACAAAGTTAGGGGGCGTGTTCGTTTATGCGAAACAACCGGTTTGTCTATTTTTAAATGTAACATTTTCAGGTATAAATCCTGGCAGACCTGCAAATGTTTATGATTAATTTGCAAGGCTTTGTCAAGGTTCGCCTGAAAGCAGCATCAGATTACTAGATCCGAACTTATTTCATAAAAGAACAACTCTGGTCCAACCGGTTCAACCGTTTGGATATCGAAAAATGAAAGCAGCCATGCAGTGACCAAGGGGCCATACCTCTTACTGTACTGGGGCACGAGACCCAGTTTAAGTAAGCAACATTCTGCCATGTAGAGTATATCAGATCTACTCCAGATTAAATGATGTAGTGACCCAGGGGACAATAACTCCTTATATAGTGAGGAATGAGATCCGATTTAAGTAAGCAACCCTCTGCCAACTCAGGAGGCACTTACATAAACAAGAGGCCCAGAGGGCCTGTATCGCTCACCTGGTTCTTTTGTTACATGAAACTGACATAAAGGTAACTTCAGACAAAATTTGGTAACTAGAACACAAGACATTTTAACATCTCTTAAACTCTTCTCAAGATATTGTTGTTTGAAATTTTTAACATATTTGACCCTTGTGACCTTGAAAGTAGGTCAAGGTCATTTTAACAAGAGAACTTTATAGCACTCCATCCCAGGTACCTACTGGCCAAATATCATGACCCTAGGTCATCCAGTTCTTTGGAAGAAGTCGTTCAAAAGAAAACAGTTGACGAATGGCAATGGACGGACGACGGAGTACGGCATAAGCTCACATAGCCCTTCGGGCCAGGTGAGCTAGAAACCTGGCAATCAAAGAGTATATGAGATATACCCCAGACAAAGTGTCAAACTGACTGACTGATGGAAATAGCGTAACCTGAAGTTTCCTCTGGTAGTACCAAAGGGGGGATTAATTAAAGCTCTATTGTGTTCTCAGAGATAAGAACTATTAATACCAAGGCCTGAATTAGGTTACAGCGTTGAGGTTTAGTCCACTCACCAGCATGTGTTGGTTCATCTGTAGGAACCCACAATGCAACAGTCCACTCAAGGTAATGGCAGCCATCTCTCGCACCTGTATTGATTAAATAAAAGACAATACAATGTTTTTGTTGTACTAGAAATATATCTAATAACAATTTGAGTATGAAGCACAGGACTTGATATGAAGTGACAGTATACTTGCCAAGTCACTCTTTATTGAAAGAAGACTCACGATTCTTCTGATTGACCTGAAATCCTTATATTGACCTGAAAACCTTATAATGACCTGAAAACCTTATATTGACCAAGGTGACGCAAGGTTTTGAGAACTAGTCGCATGTACGGGATCTCGCCGATGGGACTGAGATAAATCAAATCATAAAATGGTTTAACAATGGCACTTAACATTTTTAATAAGGAATTCCAATTTACTTCTTCCACTGTAGGTAGGTCTCATTAATCCTTAAGAAGTTTGTTTTCAAATAAAGATATGACAAAGACAGTTTTTCTGTTGATTATATACGTCGGGCAGCACTATCGAACATTCTGTTTGTACTCACCTCCAGCTGGTCATCACATATCAGTCCGAGTACAATGTCCTCGATCTCATTGATGTTCTCAGGTGTGTGGAACGTGAAGTAGTTACAGAACACCATCACCTGTATGTAGCTGAGGATGGCCCTGCGGGCGTGCCACGACTGTAACATTGTCACCTGAAAACAAAACACAGGTAGTTAATACAAACACCATCACCTGTATGTAGCTGAGGATAGCCCTGCGGGCGTGCCACGACTGTAACATTGTCACCTGAAAACAAAACACAGGTAGTAAATACAAACACCATCACCTGTATGTAGCTGAGGATGACCACGTGGGTGTGCCACGACTGTAACATTGTCACCTGAAAACAAAACACAGGTAGTTAATACAAACACCATCACCTGTATGTAGCTGAGGATGGCCACGTGGGTGTGCCACCATCATAACAGTTTCATCTGAAAACGAACAAAATGTAGCTATAACAAAAACAGATAAGTATCCACTATGACACTGGATGACAGAAATAATAGGTTAATAAACAGATGACAATGGCAATTTAACAAAAATTGAAGTTTTACAATTTATCAAAGGGCCAGACAACTCATTTCATACAGGGAACACTACTTATTTTCCTGTTTGAACATCACATTTCATAGTGTAATAAATATTTTTGGGCCCCCTGATCGGTCAGCCTTGTATTCTGATTTTAAATGGGAGATCCAGTAGTATAAACCCACCCCCCACACCGATGTAATTTGGATATGGCTAGAAAACATTCTACTTTGGGTCATAAATTAAATGGTAGTTTGGTCAGCCATGTATCCAAATTTTAAATGGGAGATCCAGTTTTATAAATACACCCCCCCCCCCCCCCCCCCCTCCCCCCCAGATGAAATTTGGATATGACTTGAAAACATTCTTTGATTCATTCTACGTTAACATCACTGTCTTTGGAAAAAAGAAAAAAAAAATGGGTTCTGCATACAGGGTCTGAAATGCACCAGGAATCACCAGATTACCATACAGGGTCTGGAACGCCCCAGGAATCACCAGATTACCATACAGGGTATGGAACGCCCCAGGAATCACCGGATTACAGGTATTCACCAGTACTCATTTTTTTTTTGAACCTTTTTTTTAAAATCAAACGATTCAAGTTTTTTAACTGACCAGTAACAAGTGACCAGTATCCTTTACCTCTCTGATGGTGGTCAATGCTAGGGGAACCAATTCCGGCTGGACGAGAGACTGGGCGAAGTAAGACAGCGCCAACGTACAATCCGTCTTCAGCTCTTCGTCCCGCGTCTCACTCTCCAGAGTACACATCTGTAAAGGCGACATAAACCTCATCATCAAACAAGCATCCAATTTTTGTATCAATTTACATCATTATACAAAGATAATTCATCTATTAAGTTTAATTAAATTTGATTTGCTATAGCAGTTCAAAATCTTGTGTAGATACTGTACCTACCAGTGCATTTAAGTATACCCTTGTGCTTGTTACTTGTTCTTTATACCTCAATCTTCAATTTTAGTTATTATTACCTAGTTTATATTAAGTATTGGGGGCTCTCACTCGCTAGTAATTTCCAATTCCTCGTTTCGTTCCATTTGGGTTTTAATTCCTGGGGAATTTTCCCCCCAATACTTTTCTGTAATATTATTTACTTATCTGTTGATTATTTTACTGCTTTTGCTTTAATTTTTCTGTCTATTCTTGATTCTACTAGGCTCTTGAATCGCTCAGGAGTTTCGTCTTGCCAGCTCTTAAATCGCTTAAGTCTGGTGGTCAGTTTGCCTCTCTTGAATCGCTCAAGGCAAA